AGAGAGAGAGAGAGAGGGGTTTTGAGGCAGCATACAAACTGGCCACAGTCCAATCCAACCACGCCACGCTTGTCTGGACAAATGGCAATGACAGTAGTTTTCCTTATCCCTAATTACAATTGTAAGATATGCAAGAGATCAAAGTAGGATATCTAAGAGAAAACGTATATTGACAAATATCATTTTTTTGTTTTGTTTTTGTTTTGAGGAACACTACAGAAAACGTGCAGCTGAAAAACTGTGATATTTGAGTCGTGGACAGAAAGCAGAGAGGCACATCCATGTTACCAGGTGGGAAACCTTTAGGGAAAAAAACAGGTTATGAACAAAAAATTATATTTTCTCCCATCGTTTAAATAGACTCACCCACCAGAATATGTAAATATATGACAACTATGATACAGAAATCAATAATTACACCATTTGCATTCAAATTTTTCATATAATTTCATCATGTAGCCTATATAGATTTATATAGATTCCTCACATGCCTTGACAAATTGTACACAGGTGTAGTCTCTTTTTTTTTTTTTTTTTTTGTAGTCATTTGTTTCCTTTTGCACGGAAATATCCCAAATTTTTCTCCCTGGGGAGGACAGAATCAGATCGAGCCCGGAAACAGGAGGAGCGTAGGACGCCGCAGTGCCGGACCGAGACGGGGCGTTTGTAAAGACCACCTGGTTTAAGGTGTTTCTGAAGACTCAAGAGAGTGGAGGAAAAGCTGCGAAAGCTCGTCTCGTTGTTCCTCTCCGCCTCGGTTTGTTTGTCAGATGTCAGCCCCCGAGGAGTCTGGGAGTGCAGGGAGAGAGAGGCGGCGAGCGGCGGCGCTCCGTTAACAGATCCCGGGGTAAAAGAGAGAGGCTCAGTCAGTGGAGTCGTGTTCATTCCTTTATGTCCTGTGAGAGTCCTGAGGAGATTTCTGCTGAGTCGACAGAGCCAAGTGTACGAGAGAGAGAGCGAGAGAGAGAGAGAGAAAGTATCCTGTCTGTTAACAGCGACGATGATAACGATGATGATATTGATTTGTAGTAGCTCTGTGCTAGGCTTCCATCCACTGATAATAATAAGGGGCTACAATCAGCACCGTAGCCTGCACCGCAGTGACACTGACCATCAAAAAAAAAGCTGCTGTGAGGAAAAACCGGTCCCTTGTATTCCCTTTTAAACTCCCCATGAAGTGTCCCACAGCCTGCGATGGGAGGAGAAGAAATGAGAAGACAAGTCGGGGTCGTGTTGCAGCACTGGAGGAGAGAGGGGGCGTCGGGGAGCCCCCGCTGTGGAAAGGCACACCAGAGGAGGAAGGGAAGGGGGTCCATGATGGCGGTGATGGTAGGAGGGAGAGGAGGGAGAATAAACTGATGGATCTTGATGAAAACTGGAGAAAATGTTCATGTTATTGTTTTGTTTTTGTCGATTTAAGTGTTATTTAGCTCAGGTTCTGGGTCTCTTCACATCCGCGAGCCTCGCTCCTGAAGGATCTGTGAGGACAAGAAGGAAGACACGAGTCAGAGGAAATCCCTTAAAGTCTCACGCTGGAGCCGTCTCAGTACTTGCTGACTTCTCCTCCCTGTCTGTGGCTCTCAGCCCTAAACCCCCTTAAATATTTTAACAGAGCTCATGAATATATAGTTATTGTTTAAATAAAGGCTCAGTCATTTCCTAAAAGAGAGATTTTAATCCAACGTTCCTCAAACAGGAGGACATGGTGCCTTTGCTTGGAACAATTTTCAGCTTAATACACATTCGGAGCAGTAGGTCATCGTTTTTTGCCTCATAACCCTTTAAAAAAATAATATAATTTATATCACACTTTAAATACACACACATTGTTGAGAAGACTGCCCTTTGAAGAGACTGGTTGCTCACCTTTGCCTTCTCGGTGGGCTCGATGACGATGCCGTTGGTGGAGTTGTTGAGTTCCCGGGAAACTACACATAGAAACTCCGCCTGGTCCTCGTTGCCGTAGTTATAGGAGGAGCCGATACTGATAAGCTGGAAAAAAAGAGGAAAAGACATGGAAGAAATGTATATATGTCTATTAATTCTTAAGATTTTAGAGGATTTTTTGCTCTCTATATCTCTAGGTTTAGTTTTTGATTGGACAAAAGAAATTGGAAGATGTTGATATAAAATGAAAAAAAGAAACTGTGTTGGCATTTCATACTAAACACAATGTTAACAGGTGTGAATATAATGTTGTTATTACTGTAACTGCAGCCCTATATGAGCAACTAAATGCAAAGTCTGAGCCTTATTTACACATATCAGATGGAGAACTGAAACACCTCGCTGTTGGCCATCCTGCAGATACACCATTCTTTGTACAGAAGAACATATCTGACTCGGTTTATTAATTAAGTCATTTTTTAGGCAAGAATGCCAAGAATTCACTGGCTGCAGCTCCTGTTGTGGTTCCAAGTGTTAATAGTCTCTCAGAGTGTGATAATAAATTGAATATCTTTTATCTTTGGACTGTTTGTTGCATAAAACAAGCAATCTGAAGACTTCACCTCCAGAGTATTGTTTCCCTCACAGTTATACAGCCCTATTTAGGTCATTTAGAGACAGGACTGTAAATGTTTGCGGTCATGTTTTTGCATATTTGGGGGGATAATGTCGATCAAAACAGGCACTTTTTTACAGCTAGAAGTTGCTTTATATGGCTGGAATATTATACTATTATTATATTGGCCTGCTCCAGAGTATTAGACTGTTTTTGTGAATGACAGTTTACACAATTTACACAAAATAATCTGCAAATGAATTAAAAAAAAAAGAGTCAATTATAATTACTAGTAGCCTAATATATCAACAGACATAACTAACAGTATTTTTTCCAATAGTCTGATATTGACACGTAAGTCAGAACCAAAATAATATTAAGGTTTGACACTCAGCCCTGTGTGTGATTAAATAATTTACTGCCTTTTAGTAACAAATATCTTAGAATTACATTCATTTCCTGATAAATGTTTTCAGCCTAACTCCAAATTGAAGCTCTGAAAGCACTAAAGCATAAACTAAAACATGAGAGAGAGAAAAAAAAGAGCTGCGTTTTCTGCACCTGCTCAAACTTCCAACCGTCCGACATGGTTGAGACCATCTGCGTGAGTTCCTCCTCTTGGCACTGTAGTACTCGATACACATGCTTCACAGGGCCCTGAGGGACGCCACAAGAGCACAGACGCACAAAACACACAGAACCACATCAACGATCTGTGCACAAACACCAATGACGAGTTATTTCTGGGTAGATTTGGACTGGAAGAAAGTCTGTTGTACAGATTTATTCTATTTTCTCGGCCGTCTGACCTGCTCCCATCAGTTTGTTCTCTGTACCTGAGACCGGTTCTCGTTGTCCCGTATTCTCTCTTTAACCAGCCTCACCAGGGATGCGATGTTGTAGAACTCTGCTTCCTCAAGAACACCTGAGACATAAAGAAAAAAAGATCATTAGACTCGATTGTTTTGGTCTCTATGCTGTAGATTGATCTTTGCTGACAGGTACGACTCCGCGTGACGTTGTACCTTCCTCTGCCAGGTTTTTATCCATGATCAGTTTTCCGTGCCGGAGGTAATTCAGGATGGGGCCGAAGTACGTGGGGTCCCTGTCGATCAGGTAGGCCCCTGTGTCGTCCTGTAGGAACACAATCAGGGTTGACATTAGTGAGGAGGATTGTTTTGTCCTCACAAACAAAAAGAAGCACAAGTTCATTATCATTAGAACTCATATTTGTATTAACAGAGGGTAAACCAAACGGGGACGTCAGGCAGTGGTTTGTGGACTTCTGTTTTAGAGCCCCCAGTTTGGTGTTATGGGGGTTACCATGTTGGTTTTCTGGAGCCCAGAGTGACTATATTTAATATCTAAACCCAAAGATATTAAACTTACAATCATATAAAGGAGAGAATAACAGTAAGTCCCCACAGAAAATATTTGGAATTTGTATCATATTTGGATGCAGGGTTTCCGCAGGTTTTACCAGATAAAATTTAGACCTTTTAAAGACCTTTTTAAGATCTTTTTAAGACCCTTATAAAAGCTATTTCAGGACTATTTTATGTCCTGAGAACGAGAGGACATGCCATGCTTAAAGCACACGCCGCTTTATCATCTGTTTAATCCTAAATGGGACCATCATTTACAAAATGTCGAGTTGGATAACGTCCAGAAAAAGAAATGTTGGAGAGGAGAAGCATGCGTTCATTATCATTACAGACACATCGGCCAACATGATCAGCTCATTTTAGCCAACACTGATATATTTGTATCAACATGACGTCGCCCGCTGGTTTGTGGACTACCGTTTGGCGTTATGGGGTCGCCATCTTGGTTTTCTGGAGCAAGAAGCGACATGTTTGGATGCAAGTCAAATTTAAAACTTTTTAAAACCCTTTTAAATGCAATTTAAGATTTATTTTATGTCCTTACAGGCACAAAAAAAAAAAAAAGTACAAA